GAAAGAAGAGGAGCAATCTGCTTCAGAACCACTGAAAGAAGAAGAGCAATCTGCTTCAGAACCACTGAAAGAAGAAGAGAAGACTGCTTCACAACCACCGAAAGAAGAAGAGAAGACTGCTTCAGAACCACCGAAAGAAGAAGGAGAGCAATCTGCTTCAGAACCACTGAAAGAAGAAGAGAAGACTGCTTCACAACCATCGGAAGAAGGAGAGCAGTCTGGTTCAGAACCACCGAAAGAAGAAGAGCAATCTGCTTCAGAACCACTGAAAGAAGAAGAGAAGACTGTTTCACAACCACCGAAAGAAGAAGAGAAGACTGCTTCACAACCACCGAAAGAAGAAGAGAAGACTGCTTCACAACCATCGGAAGAAGGAGAGCAGTCTGGTTCAGAAATATCGTTATCACCGACAGGAAAACCTAATGACTTACTATCACCAAAAAGAAGAAGGCAGTCTCGTTCATCATTATGGGAAGAAGAAGAAGAAGAGAAGGCTACTTCACAACCACCGGAAAAAGGAGAAAAGTCTAGTTCACAACCACCGGAAAAAGGAGAAAAGTCTAGTTCACAATCACCGGAAGGAGAAGAAAAGTCTAGTTCACAATCACCAGAAGGAGAAGAAAAGTCTAGTTCACAATCACCGGAAGGAGAAGAAAAGTCTAGTTCACAACCACCGGAAGGAGAAGAAAAGTCTAGTTCACAATCACCAGAAGGAGAAGAAAAGTCTAGTTCACAATCACCAGAAGGAGAAGAAAAGTCTAGTTCACAATCACCAGAAGGAGAAGAAAAGTCTAGTTCACAATCACCAGAAGGAGAAGAAAAGTCTAGTTCACAACCACCAGAAGGAGGAAAGCAGGGTGAAACAGGTTCCTCAGAAAAAGAAGCTGTCCAAATGAAATCACAATAGAGTGTTCTAAATAAAAGATCATGACAATAAATTGTATTTTTTCTTTACACATGCTTAGAGGTGCTATATTATTGCTTGTATACGCGGATGCAACAATAAATATTTTTTACGCATCTACACCGTATTTTATTGTGAGCAGCTGTTCCTGCGCATCAAATCATGAGCAAAGATGTCCCTGTGCGCTCATAAATAAGCGTTTCATCAACAAAAAGCCGTTTTCGTTCGTGTAGCATGTATTTCACGTGCTGGTAATTCTGAATGTTATTAAGCCGTTACTTTTTAAAATGAAGCGCAGCACATCGTTTAACTCTCACATTCTGAACTGAACTCCAATAGGTATTAACCCACAAATGTGCAAACAGTATATTTAAAAATTATTGAGTACTACCAGCCCAGCTATGGTAATTCCCAGGTAGTAAATGATTTAGCAAGTCAAACGAAAAAAAATAACAACGGTAAATGTAGTCATTGTTATGGCTTTATAACTACATATGATTCGAAAAGACGTAAATATGTAATTAGTTAGGGCTTTTAGCACGCAAAAAGTACGCGGACACGTACTATGAACATGTGGTTCCGTTGAGAGCCATCAACAAGCTTCGCAAAATGCATGCTCTCAATTTTTTGGCCATCATCATTTGGCGAAACAAAGGCAAAAGAGACGAAAAAGCAGATTGACAGTCCATCAATCTGTAACAAGAAAATATGTAACAAACAAAAAAAGGCAAAAACAAATAAAAAAAATCTTCAAATGTTGATTTCCAACTACAAGTTGGCAATGGAGCAAGAAAAACTGAAGATTGAAAAAAATAAAAATAAACTAAATACCAATGGTTTGGTAAACAACCAAAACCAAGGTGATACAAAAAGTGGTTTACACAACCATAAGAACAGCATCACCTTCATGGGTGAGTGCAGTGACAAATCTCATCACGATGATGAGTCATCAGATGATCGTCTTGCCGGTGGCGATGGATCTGATGAGAGTACTGATAGCAACGGCTATTATGTACAAAGTGAAACAGCCAAGCACTATGCTGGCGAGCTCAACCAGATCTGTGCAAATTGTACGGCAATACACTTTAAAGACGAGACACACCGTAGACGCATGTATAAGAGCTGCTGTCACTTCGGCAAGCTGGCCTACACACCACGAGATAGCTATCCAGAGTATCTCAGATCGCTGTTCATCGATACAGCAAGCAGCAATCATAAAAACTTCAAGGCAAACATACGATCGTACAACAGTGCCCTGTCGTTTGCGTCAATGGGTGCAAATGTGGAGCAATTCACACGAGGAATGTACTTCTTCAAGGTGCATGGTCAGGTCTATCACAACACATACAACATAAACCCGCTTGAGAACACTAATAGGAGGTACTCACAGTTGTATGTGATTAATACAAACGATGCCACAGATCTGAGATCGAGAAACCCTGCAAATGAGAAGTGTGACAAAGCAATACTACACAATCTTGACAGGACAATAAGAGAAGTCAACCCGTATGCAGAATCCTGCTGAGGTTGAGAGAAGTGCAGTACGTGAAGGAAACATGCTGATGGTATATGTGGTGTTCAACAAGAACATTCATCGCGACATGAACAGGTACGATGTTCCTACAACGGGCGAGATTACGATGATATTCAGCGAGACACAGCTGCCATTCATACTCAAGAGAAGACAGTTTCTGGCTCTTCTTTCGTTTGCGATGACAATCCACAAGTCACAGGGTCAGTCATTTGACAAGGTAGGTGTTTATCTGCACAGCCCAGTCCTTGTGCATGGTCAGTTGTACGTAGCTCTGTCGAGAGTGCGCTATGCAAACGGTCTAAGGGTGTATGTTGCTGACAATGGAGACCAAGGAAAGCATGAGAATGATAAAGTATACACAAGAAATGTTGTGTATAATGAGCTACTGGAATGAAAGTGATTTATTGATTTTGTGACCACAGAACAGTTAGTAGAAAGGAATGACCTGATGTTACAGTTGTATTCGAAAGCGCTATTTTGGTATACTACCCATTCATCATCCATTTGGAAAGACAGGATATCGCAGCAAGTATTCTATAAAACATGAATTATACCTCATGGACAGCAATCACAGCTGGTTGCTCCACCATATTTCCAATAATGTGCTTATTATTCAGGTTAGAATAAGTGGAGCATATGTACACCGTATTAAATTTTATGTTGGGCCATATAAATACGTAGCAGTACATTACTTCGCGTGCTTTTGATTCAAGATTCGTTTATTTACCTATCCCATATTAGGAGTGTGATTATGGTCAAAAAATCGATTGACAGAGAAATCCCGTACTTGTGGTAAAATATAAAATACAGCCAAAGAACCTGATACCGTACAATGGTGGTGTGTTTGAAGAAACCATTTGATAAAACAATCGAGGTTATCTCTGTTATGCATAGAACGATGTTCATTGAGCCATGTAATGGTCTCGTGAACACATGGAGTGGGAGATTGCAGTAAATTATATTTGATTAGGTAATTCTACGATGATACAAATATCATTATCAAAATGTAAGTCGATCCGTTGGCTTGCATCAGAGTCAAATCGGAACGGGTCACTCACTATCCAGCAACGATACTTTGCAATAATGACTGAGCTCCGAGAACAAAATTAAAGCTTGAACTTAATGAAATCACACGCATCTCTACCAGCAAATAATCGCTGCCAATACGGTTCAAGATGTCTCGCACATTATTAAACATTTATTTTTTTACGAAAAATTCATTAGGCAGATCATCCAGCTCATTTTCATCGCAATTTTTTTTCAATTTCACATCGTTACTATTGCTTTCTTCAATTCCTTTATCACCAAGCCGTTCTTTCAGCTCCAAATCAAATCCGCTACCATCCTTGTACACCAGTGACTCACCGTCATCATACACCGTGTCAGAAACGTTGTCAAAGTTGTTTGGGTCACTTATACTTCGTTCTTTTACAGAATCATCATGTGTTGACACATGAGGGCTGCTGTTACTCTTGATAATCGTGTACTCCTGAGTTTCCTCCAAATCAATGTCATCAAAATCAGAATCAGGGTTAAACGCATCTCGAATATCGTGGGGTCTCTTCGGCTTGAGTTCCTGCGGTTCTTCCAATATTTCATCATTTTTTAAGTTACTTCCATCGCTGGCTCCCCCATCGACCACGTCTTCGACTTGCAGTTCCTTCTTACCCTCATCATTATTTTCTTTCTTCGTACTTTTACCGTTTTCAGGCTCATTTTCAATGCTTTGTTTTTTCATATCATTCTCATCTTGTTTTCGACCTTTCTTCTGCCTGACATCCTCAATCTCTTCTCGTTCTTCCAATTTTTGCAACTCCTCAGCTTTTGCATTTTTTTCTCTCTCCAAATCATCTTCTCTCTTTTGTTCTTCCAACCTCTTTTGTTCTTCTGCATTAATCCTTTCTGCTTTTTTCATCTCTTCTCTTTTCTTCTGTTTTTTCAACTTTCTTAACTCCTCGGTTTTTGTCTTTTTTTCTTTTTCTAATTCTTCTTTTCGCTGCTGTTCTCCCAATCGTTTAACTTCTTCTGCCCTAATTCTTTCTGCTCTTCTCAAACCTTCCATTCGCTTCTGCTCGTCCAACTTCCTCAACTCTTCGGTTTTTTCTCGCTTCACTTTTTCCAGCTCTTCCTTTCTACGTTGCTCTTCTTCCCTTCTTCGTATTTCTTCTTTTTTACGTTGCTCTTCTTCCTTCTTCTTCTCATTCAATTCTTCTTCCCTTCTTCGTATTTCTTCTTTTTTACGTTGTTCTTCTTCCTTTTTTCGTATTTCTTCCAATTTTCTGTACTTTTCTTCCTTCTTCTTCTCATTCAATTCTTCTTCCCGTTTCTGCTCCTCCCTTCTTTTTATTTCCTTTTCGCGCTCTTCTTTGGCTTTACGAACCTGTTCCAATTTTCTCAATGCCTCACTTTTCTCCATGTTCGCTTGCTCCACCCCATCTACCCTTTGTTCTTTCTCCATTTTCTCATGATCTTTCGATTGCTCAACTCCATCCGCAACTTTCATATTTTCAATTTTTTCAAGTACACAATCCTTCTTCTCTCCCAAAGCCACTCCACCCACATCATTCCCTGTATTTTGACCGCTTACCTTTTCTATCTCGTTCAAAGTACTTTTTATAGTATCTTCTTCCTGCTTTCCACTATCATCCTTTTTGCGATCAGCCACACTTTTTTCATCTTGTATCTTTCTCTCTTTTTTATTCTCCTCTTTCTTTTTCTCCAAAATCTTGCGGTACTCCCCATCATCAAATACGAACTTAATCGGCTCATCGCTCTCAAAAATTTTGTACAGCAAACCCGTACCAAACGTTGCACCCATCAAATTTTCAGGGTCATTGTTCAAAAAAACCGCAACTTTTCGTATCGTATTCGTTTCCTTGTTAAAAACGAACAGCACGCACTCTTTACCCTTAAATTCGTACAACTTGTATCCAAAAGCATCCTCGTTAGGAATGTACACCCCCTCGATTCCGATCACATAATCCTCGAAAGCTTGCAGACTTGCTCTGTGAGCGGGAGAGTCTTCATCCACCTCGATTACACATAGTGTGGGGCAGTAAGGCTCGCCCTTGTGCACCTTGACATTGATGCCTAGGCTCTCGCCCTCCACACACTTCTCCAAGCACAGGTCCATAATCTTCTTTGTGCATAGATCCAACACCTGCAGCCTTATTTGGTGCTGTTTCCACTTGGTAAACTCCTTCTTTACGTCTTCTGAACTGCCTACCGGCTTGTCGTTCACAAGGGTGATCGTGTGTATGAAAGGTAGCAAATTCAGTTTGTGTGCGCGTGAGCCCTCGGTTACTTTGGTGATTTGCAGGGTCACGGATTCGTCGGTGATTGTCTGTCCCATCTCTGAGGGGTACCGCTTTTTAGTAATAAATTGTTTTATTATTTTGGCAGTAGATGCAGATGAGTGAAGATAGCACCGTGATTGGCACAATATTAGCGTATTATCTGATAAATTTATGTATGAAATACGGTATGGCGTGCTAATATTCTACTACCGGATTTAAACATGTTTTACGGATAAAACAACGAGTAGCCTGTTGTAAAAATAGACAAGCGATCTTTTGTGCTGTCTTATGTTTGTTTGTGTTCTATGTATCCGTGATAAGCGATAATTCGTTGTTAAAATCGCTCATCAAAGCATTTAATCCGCACAAATGTCAAAGGAGTCTACACGTACTTTGATACGCTCAATATTTTTATGATAAAACACGAATCACAAGTTGTGCGGCTGCGTACCAGGGAAAAGACCTGCTTCATAGACTAATGCGCTTGTGAGCAGGTACAAATAAATATGGTTATCTGAAACGAAAGTTCCTGTGGCAAATGAGTGATCTTGATCACATAATACATACAACGAATCGCTTTAACTGTTGCATTCCAAGAAAATGCTTTTATCTGCACAAGTTTTGTTTACTAACAGTGAACCTGTGACCGTGGTTGGTCCCAGCAGACCAGAAAAGTGTCTTGTTGAGGTGTTGTATGAGATGAGTAAACGGCCGTTAGTAGAGAATTGCGCGGACTTTGCACACTAAAATGCAGCATTTTAAGCAAATAGAAAATCAAACGCGTGAGCACAACCTATGGCACAACAAATGCACCGCGGTAAAATATTTGTCTGCTAATCATGAAGTGATAGAGCGCACTTCTAAATAAATACACGATCTGTCGATGAGAGCAAGGGAAACAGGTACCAAAGTTTTGTATGCTACCTTTGGATTATCAGGTATTGCCAAAATGTTCAAGTGCAAGCAAACATAAGATCATACATCAAATAATGGTTCATATTTGGATCGTACAAAGATCGGCTAGGATGTCTAAGCACACTCATTGAACTACGTACATTAACACTTACTCTCATTTCTGTACCTATCCGTAACATTATTAGGAAATGTTATAAAAAAGTTCACATGCAGATCGTGAAATGCCCGGTACGAGATCTTAGAATTTATTACGGTTTAAATCATTGTGAACGACTGAAGAACAGCAGGATTTATTGTAAAATTGAACAAACCGTGTGCCAAACGACACTTCCATTAGCAAATACAGATAAGACCTGACAGCATTTTCCATAAAACCACGTGTTGAAAGCATTCATTACAGCTGTTGTATGGCGGTAGCTCTCATACAAAGCATCGTCATTCGTGTGCGCTCAAATGTCCGCTCTATGCTTTGTATAAAACGGTATTTTACGTGCTGGCATGTTCGATCTAAGGGTCTATTTCAATGTAAGGTGACCCGATCAAACTATTTACCGTCCAACTTATTGCTTAGTGCGTACTGTCATCGTATTGAGTTGTACAGCTGATATTTAACAGCAAAATGGTGTGCTGCAATAAGACAGGACCTAAAATGCACACTATAGGTGCTATATTCACACACAGCACTTAAAATGAATATTTTGTGTTGTTAGTTAATTAATCTTGGTATTTAAGCAAAACAAATGACGACCCCCAATGAAATTGCATCGAGTTGGTATCGTGGGATCGGGCAGCTTCGGCACAGCCATTGCAAACGTTCTTGCGCGAGGCGCGCTGAAGAAGGCCGCGTTTGATGACACGGTGAAAGTATGGATTTTTGACGAAAGTGTGGATGTAGATGGAAATGCGGTGATGCTCAGCGAATACATCAAAGAGAAAAAGGAAAATGTAAAATATTTACCAAATGTAGAATTACCTGAAAATCTTTTGTTCATCAAGGATCTGAAAAAGGTTGCGGACACAAGCGATATTTTGATCTTCGTTGTTCCTCATCAGTTCATCGAAAGGATTGTGCAGCAGTTAAGAAACATGAGTCTGAAGCGAAAGATTGCGTGTTCGTTGATGAAGGGAACGCTCTTCTCGGAGGAAACCTCTGAACTCGTTCTCATCTCAAATTATATTGAACGAGAACTTGGTTGGTCATGTTCAGTCGCAATGGGTGCAAACATCGCCACAGAAATGCATCGAAGCGTGTGCGAAATGACAATAGGGTCCAAAGAGGATGGCGATGTGCTGAAACGGCTCTTCGACACTCCGCAGATAAAGACCACGGTTGTCAAGGATAAAGCATCGGTAGAGATGTATGGAGCACTGAAGAACATTGTAGCCATAGGCTATGGAATGGCATACGGCCTTAATCTATCCATTAACACGCAGGTAAGCATAATGAGGTGGGGAATGCTTGAGATGATGCGATTTGTGAGGATTATCGATGCAAGTGCTGATTTTGGTACAATTTTGGAGTCGTGTGGTGTAGCGGATCTCATGGTTAGCTGTATCACGGGGAGAAACGCGAAGTGTGGGGAGAGGATGGCCAGGGAAAATCTAACTATAGAAGAGATAGAGAAGGATATGGGTGGTCAGAAGCTGCAGGGGACATTGTGCGTGTATGAGGTGATGATGTATCTGAGGAAGAAAAATATGGAGGATGACTTTCCTGTGTTCCGTACTATTTACAATATTTGCTACGGTAAAGCGAAATGTAACGAAATTTTGAGCGTTTTTAACGAATAAATGTTTGTATGGTATTCGTATGATGCGGCGTTGAGAGGCAACGAACTTTTATAGCACGAAAAAGCGTGAAATAGCTGTGCTGAAGGAGTATGGCCTTAATCTAGCGGTTTAAAACAGGCAACCTCTCTATCTTGGAATAGAATACTCTCAGGTAGGAGTATATTACAATTCGTGGATAGTTTAGATCGTGGCTGTACATCCACTTTATCATTTTATGGCCATTGATAAGATAAATCGGATTGAATGCTTCTTTTTGGGTTTAAACTGGGATAAAAGTATGTTGTGCACTGATTACAACCAATTCATACCAAATATGAGCGCGTTGTGATTATTTTTTTGCCATGAAACACACCTTTAATACACTGTTCTGTAGCACAAATCATAATTAATACGTAAATGAGGTACAATTGTGGTAAAATACCCGCTTTACATCAACCATAAGTAAATCATCTTCAATCGAAAACAATATTTTGAGCATCGGTACAAGAAGCATTCTGTGTGGTAAACAATCCAATAAATTTACCTTTCGTAATTTTTTAGCAATGCGGATCAGGTCCATTCAACGTAATCGTTTGTTACCAGCGCTTAATTAACCGTTCACACAAAGAAAATCTATTAACGATCAAAATCAGTACCAATATAAATATAATGCGGCCGAAAACCATAGCAGCTACGTATTTGTGATCACCGAGGATACTGCTTGTTACAATTTCTCTATTCTCAATTTTAGTTGTTTCCAAATCGTTGGCATTTCCATACAAAACACAGATACATGAAGTCTACACATAAAATTGCAAAATTATCAGATCAAGGATTTTTGATCAAATTACAAAAACGTTATATTGGCATCAAGCAGTGGATAATGAATGCGCAGGCACGTCAAGAAATTATAGATATGAGCATATCTGTTGCATATACGTGATGTGTGTGCGCTAATAATTTGCTCTCAACCAATACACCAGTCAGAAAACTCATCACCAGGCTTGGGATCATGTTTCATTTCCTTGCAAAACGTTTCGAAATGCTATTCAAAACAATACGGTACGCAATGATAATGAGCGTAAATGCCGAGTCAGTTCCTATATTTACCATGACAACAACATACATATCATTTGTTCTTCTGATCCTGTTCGGGTATTTTCGCGACATCGTAGGAATGCTGTTTCTTACGAAGGGATATAGGCATCTGATGCGTAAGGGCGACCTACAGCCGATTTACACCACTTTTGAGAGCTTTTTTATTCGAAGATTGTACACACGGATAAGAGATTGCTGGAATAGACCGATAACCGGAGTTCCTGGCAGAATCATACAGGTACTGGAGAGAAAATCGTATGACAACAACCAGACGTTTATCCTGACTGGCAAAAAAATACCACTGCTGAACCTGAGCTCGTATAATTATCTCGGCTTTGGTACGAATAAAATGGAGGTGATAAAGAACGATCTTGCCACAGCAGATTTATTTCCAATAAACTATCCCGGCACAGTTTCAGACATCGGAACACACCCCATCAACAGAAACTTGGAAAAGCACATCGCACGTTTTCTAAGAAAGGAAGACTGCATCGTTTTTCCCATGGGATTCGGCACAAATTCGTGCAATATTCCGATCATCAGTGACGAAAATACGTTGATACTCAGTGACGAGCTGAACCACAATAGTATAATCTATGGCTCCAAAATGTCTCAGGGATGTATACGAACCTTTGCGCACAATGACATGGACAATTTGGATAAACTCTTGCGCTTCTACATTTCACAGGGACATCCAGATACTAAGAAAGCATGGAACAAGATCATTGTGATTGCGGAGGGACTTTATTCGATGGAAGGAACAGTTCTCTCGTTGAAGAAGCTGATAATGTTGCGCAGAAAGTATAAATTTTATCTTTTCATCGATGAGGCTCACTCGATCGGTGCAATGGGTGCAACAGGCCGGGGTGTCGCTGAGTACTGCAACGTGCCATTCGACGAGATCGATATTTTCATGGGAACGTTTACGAAAAGCTTCGGGGCCGCGGGCGGTTACATCGCAGCAGACAAAAAGGTTATCAACTTTTTGCGTAATTACAGTGATTTTTCACTTTATGGCGAGCAGTTATCACCAGTGGTGGCGCAGCACATCCTAACAAGTTTTAAAGTTATGAACGGTCCGTTTGGAAATGTGCTCAGGAGGCGACTTAGAGACAACATAACGATGCTGAGGAAGGGTTTGATAGCAAAAGGCTTCGTTGTTTTTGGTGAAGAGGAGTCACCGATCATTCCACTGTTGATATATAATCCGGGAAAAATGTTTGAGTTCTCAAGGATGTGCATGCAAAGGGGGTTGGCAGTCGTTGTCGTGGGGTATCCTGCAACACCAGTAATCTCCAATAGAGCCAGGTTTTGTGTGTCGTCCATACACACAGAAGAGGACATCAAGTGTGTATTAAAGGTTATTGAGGAGGTGGGCGAATTACTTGGTATAAACGTGCTCAAGAAACGTAGGTTCTTCTTTTTCTGACCGATGAACTAATAAATATTGATCGTTGTAGAGTAATTTTGTTCTGAACTGCGGTAAGGAGCCAAAAAAGATTTAATCTGTGCTGTATAGGTGGCATGGAACACGAGTCAGGTATCGTGCACTAAAAAAGCAATGCTTCATCATCTGCTGCAATAAAATATTCTAGGCCCGGTCCCTTTATCGTTATGTGTGTGATGATCAAAGGTCTTGGTGATTCATAGGAGTTCATTTATTTTTTAAGTACGTCCTTGCCGATGAACATGACCATGATGGAAATAAAAAAGCAATAAAATGAAGCATCCGGAAAACTCAAAAGTTAGAAAAATGATATAAATGGATACAGCAATCAGTGCCAGCACAAACATACAGGCGATCCGTGACAGTTGAACGGTGTAGCTGTCCATTTTAGTAACGCTTGTCAAATCCCGAAGATGCAAATTAAACGTGCTACTAGGGAGTGAAGTGCACGAGAACCGTCAAGTGCTGGAATAAAAAAATAATTAATTTATTGAAGTGATGCATTCAGCGTTGAAGAGACTTTCTGAAAACAAAGTAAAATACCACAAGACTGAGAAAACCAAGAATGCCTGCAAAAATAATCTTAGACTTTTCCATCAGCATCTTCACCACCCTAATGCTCCTCATTATGTCCTCAATATCGTTTTTATTCTCGTAATGGGGCAGTTTGTTATTAAAATTGATGGCCCTGCTGTACGTCAGGTTGTTGACATTGAGGTTCTCTAGAATGGTCGAGCCATACACCTTCAGGCTCGTCAGGGTAAATAGCGAATGTTTTCCCTGAAAGTTTAGGACATCGATCCGCAATATGCTGGTGAACACATCATTTTTGACGTAGAACAGCTGTTGCCCTCTCGTGAACCTGCAGCTGAATGAGCCCAAACTCACCCAACTCCCATCAATATAGGTAGACAACTTAATTTGACGAGGAAAAGAACTCAGATATTCTTTGTTTTGCAGTTCTACGCAGTTAATCTTGACCTCATTGCATAGTTTCACTATGATATAAGTCGGTGCACATTCGCCAATCGCATAATGGTCGCTATTGGGTGTAAGAATGGCATCGGGACGATCCAGATTTTTGCTTGTGTACACGATGAATGCCCCACACAGCGAGGAAGCATAATTACAACCACGTGTACATTCCGTTAGCGAGAATAGAAAAAGAATCACTTTTACGATCATAGGGGTGGAGATATGGTAGAAATTTTGTATGACCTGCGTTTGCAGTCGGGTATGTTACTGGCTGCCAAAGGCAGCTTGGTTAACTAAATTCGCTAGTCAGTACCTCAGAAACGGTGCGGTTTGCTTTTTCAACACCATCAGGTCGAATGGACAGATTAACGGCAAAAGGATGGGATGGACTGGTAACATGGGTCTTAATACATGTACTTGTGCCAGATACTCGCAATATACACCCGTAATTACATCCTTGCTATGCTCTTAGTGTTTATATCGTCTAGAAAGCGTAATAAAGTTCTATAACTGCCAATTTTATTTTTAGCACTCCATAGTTCTGAAAATTATGTTTTGTGCCCTGAACTTAGCACGGCACGAAAACTTTTTCTTGTGAAATGAAAAAAAGCCAAATTCAAGATCTGCTCGTAGCAATAATTGATTCTAGCGGACCAGAAAAGCGCATTTGTTGCTATTTTTTTGGTAAAGTGGTGAATGAACCAACAAATATATTTTGCAACATAAATGAAAGTTACTCTATTTTTCACGCATAACACGATCGGTTCCCTCATAAAGATTGAACCAATGGTGCTCTCATACAAAAAGTACGCTGCCATACTTTTGAGGATGCCATTAGCTTAGTCTCTGATCAATGGTCACCATGAATGAACAGCCAAAAATACCGCAAGTGGTCATTTCTGCGCCAAACGTGTGTGTGAAACGAAGTGCTCAGATGTGTATTGTTATGATTGTGCCGGGCTCGCAGTTTATCAAGAACACAACATAACGACTCACTCTAAAATTCTGTGATGTAGTGGAATTGAGGTTTAAAAAAAGTATTACAACAAATTACATATTTTTCTTGAATAAAGTGCTGAAACACAAGTACAAGGCTATGTTATGAACAGTAGGTTGTCCTGTACACGTAAATTTGTGCACAAGTTACAGTTTTTAACACGTTCATTAGAGCACAAACAGCTTTCTTAACGTGGTGGAATCAATTCTTGCACCAAAAATGCCCTTCTCATGTACTTTTTTCTCTCTTTATTGCACTATAAGTTACAAATCAATGTTTTCATAATTGTCAAAGGAAGCGAACAAACACAGATAAAACATTCTTACACGTTTTTCTTCCCAGTGTTCTCTGCTAAAATACATAAAAGTACTTTTCTAGTAAAAGGAAATGCAAATAAAATATTTTTGCAAACTATGCACATTTACTGCCACACACAACACTGTCCAGGCCAACACACTTTCTATCCACTCAAAATACTTCACACTCAATGCATTGCCACAATTATTGTTTTAGGATAAATCACACATTACCATGCATGACACCACTAAAGTACACATAAGGAAATATTTCAACGTGTTTGCTACAATATGCCATAGTTTTTCCTTGCCCATCATTTAAGTGCGTGACCGCTCCACAAGGAACCAGCTTTTATCCTTTCCACATGGAATTGAGAACACCAATAGTTTTCAGATCAATTTGCTTGGTTGTTTCGTGCCAACAAATGTGTGTGTATACTGATTGCATGGTACTGATGCCCAGCACACGCACGCTGACACCGTGATTTACTGCGTTCAGGTTACAAACATGATTATTTGGTGGTCTAATCTATAAATGGTGCGGTTTAGACTGTCTTGAGAACGTACAATTGAATAAAGCCATTTTACGATCATTTCTTGCCTTGAAAACATGTTCATTTTTGAGAGCCTTATATAGTAAATGGAGGTGCACACAGCCATGGCATACCAATTATTTGATTTTCGTGCCGCTCATTTTCTATTGTGGGAGATAAAAATCTATGAACTTGTATAAATCAATTATTTACCTGTTCTATTTCCCTTATATGCACTTTTCCTCCTAAATATCGTTAAAGAGAGTATTTAGTGTTAATACGAGCAGATGATAATTCTGGTACCAAAAAACTGCGCAAATATTTTTCTGCATTGTTATGAAGCGCGTTTTTGGCTGGCAGGCGTAGCACTGCTATTTCAACAAGCGCCTGCATGATGCTTAAACCCGGTTGCAGCCCCGCATGTATAAAACACGGGCAAGAACACACCAAAAGGTGCGCAAAATCTAATTTAGCGAATAGGGCGGTGAACGAAGCGAGGAGGCTAAAAATAGAAAATGAGGAGTGAACAGACAGGAACACCGGTACGCAGTACCAACACCACAGAGTTCTTCTGAATGACTTTAATGGATTAGATCATTGCACACATACATATACCGGTGATTAAGGCACCGCAAAGAGCAAACATTGAGCTCGCATCACCATTCGTCTTGCTGCTCGACTTCTCCTTATCACTAGACTTAGTCTCATTCTTAGTGTCAGTTGCATTATCACCGTTACCACCATCCTCCTCTTCTTCCCTCTTGGTAGTGTTACTTGCCGTGAGCACAAATGCCACGAATGCAAAGATAACGAACAAGTTCTTCAGAATTTTATGCATAGGGGAAAGGGAAGGCGCGCTTTTATATTTTCTGATATCAAAATAAAGTCATAATTTTGTTGATTTGATAAATTAAGAAAAATTAGAAAGTTTATGACAAATGATAATCTATCAGAACGAATGGCAAGTGATAAAATGGTGATCACGACTTGTTTGTTGATGAGCGCATTCGTTGCGCTACTCGTTAGTTGGTGAGCTGTCAACATGATAGGTAAGAGCGGCACAAATGGTGGGAGAAATGTCTTAGTTCCGCAGTAGAACATGAAACGAAGAGTTTTTAATGCAAATTACGGCATGGTAGGGAGGAGCAGGGCAGCGTAAAATGCTCAATACACGCGTGCGGTGAGTAACCGCTTGGTACGGCGAAGTACCGTACGGTACACCGGTGTGCTTTTAGTTGGTAGGTACAAACAAACTCATTGGCAATCTTTTAAAAGCCTTAACATGGCCGTGATTGGTGTACCTGAGTGCTTGGTAAATGCGTAGCAAATAGTTTAACTCGCCAACAATACGAATTTATCATTTCATGTAATCATTTTAAGGAATGGTCCAATGGTAGGCTTTGCCTGCTATCGCTGTCTCGTTTGCACCATTGTATTTGATTTAGAACTTTTGGTTGGCTGCCCGTGGACCACCGTCTTGCTGCCATCCAAAAGAACGATTTTCCTTATCATCCTTGGCAATCACGCCCTTCCGTACGGTCATCACCGATCAGGTAATGACAATACCTCGAGATATCCGGCACGAATTAGAACACGCAATAAAAAATTTAATAAAACCATAATCACCGGAAAAAGTGCTCGCAATTAATTGTGAGGTAATTAAAACGCAGCCATCAATCACATCGAATAATTACGACAGCTCAACGGAGAATGACTCTTTGTTAGAGCATGCGGAACGGTTGCAAAGCTGACTAGTGCTGTCTAAATGCTGCTCGATAACGGTTTGCAATACTCACACTGCTAATATCGCATTGCCAATCACTCCACATGTCTACGCATTTACTTGGTGTCTTGCAGAGCTACTCCAAATTTATACCGCTTTATCACGTCATTACCATCACTGATTGATGGCTCGGCACTTCACCCGACAGTTTAACATTCTTAATTAATTATGTGCGGTGCACGCCTCATCGGTATTTTAGTTCTTTTGCCGGGTCGGCCGGTGATTGTAAGTTGAACGGTAGTGCGCATTGTACGAGTGTTGTAGCCTTAATGGTTGGAGTTGCGTAGCGGTGGTGCGATGCAAAGGTTTTTGTTCCTCACTGGCAGAAAGTTGGAATTGAGATTTACAACGTGCCAAATAAAATTAATTGTTACGGCATAGCTGTGCTGTGGACACCTTTTAATCGTGTTAGCACGCTTGTACCGTACTGCGTTGTGGTTTGCGGTACAAACACGTACTAAGGAAGTACACGGCTAGGTTTATACAATGAACGGCTGTATCTCCCTTTATGACCGCAAACAACATTTGGCACAAAAATTTACGCTCTGCGGTAAACATAGCACCCGTTACGTGTGTTCACGAGCGTAAACAGCGGATAGTATGGCACGATCAGTTCTTGTGCTGAGCAATACCGGATTAAAACATCATATTATGTGTGAATGATGGACTTGAAGCACGTTTTGACCGTGCTATTCTCAGAGTTAAAATAAATTTACTATTACTTCAATTTGTGACTGCGCTATTCCACTAGGTCTACACCAGAATATATGAAAATAATTTATTTAGGCACCGCGATACGAGCACAACATTAGCAATTCCTCTCTCATACAAGAATTTTGCTCTGCATCCATACGCTTTTTAACCTATGATCACGGGAATTAAATCGATACCTGCAAATGGTATCAATGCCATGGTAGAGCACTGAACCATGATAAACACGACATAAATCATTTCATCACTTGGCACACAGCTTAACGACTCGATCACACCAGCATTTATCGTAGCATCCCCTTTCACCTCCATACAACCAAATCACTTGCTGATGTCACTGCGTTTTATAAATTTAACCAATTCATTTGCCTTAAAATCATCGCCACTCAAACCCTCGAACCCCACAATTCCATCCACACACTTCCCATCCCTGAAGAATCCTAGGAATGGCAGCGTTCTAATTTGCAAATACTCACACACATCCTCAAACAACTGCGCCTCAGCCCTGTAAAACTTTATATCACCTACGATATCAGCGGCTTCTGCAAGTTTCTTGTCCATTATTTGGCAACGAGCGAATTCAGGATTATGAAAGTGTATGATACAACGCTGAGTTGTTATGGTGTTGAGAAGTGACTGGCGAGAAGTGATGGATGGAATTGGAATTCCCTTTTTCAGTTCTGACAAGCGTTTTTGTTTGTAATGGCTAAGTACCTGGTCGTCTACGTCTGAATCGATCAGCATCCGTTTCTAGGGGCTAAGAATTACGGAGCGTAAAAATGTAGCAATAGAGCAACTCCGGTTTTGATGTGCAAATTTTATACTGAACAGGTCTACGATCTTTGATAGCGTGCAATTATTATCGTGTGAACGGTACTGAACAGCGCTTTTCCACGTGATGTGATCAGTGCATCACTAAACTACCTATGATAAAGCAACTGCACCAATCACAGCCTTTTTACGAGTGGTCCATTCTTTCCGTACTATTTCATTCATTTTATACGTATTGCAATGTTTTGCACGTTCGCAGAATACGCCTTGACCATGGAAAACAAGTACATAATACGATGTTCCTTACAAAATTTTCGTTATCTTAACCATTTCACGGTACTATCGTGTGTTAATAATGAGTTTGTAAGTTTAAGAGGTACATTAACGTTCAGCTAATGTCCTTTTCATCACTGCCGAACGGCGAAAACAATAATTAAAAGATGCAACCATTTTTTGCTAACTACCCGTTTAATCATCAACCAAAGTGCGATAAACCACAACAGCAGCAGCTCACATCCTTACTTACCCGTAGTGTGCCGGTGCATTATTTGCTACAAATTATCATTCCGCTCCACACACAGCACCAACCAAAGAGACAACCTGCCGGGATTAACCATCTTAATAACAATCTTCACAAAAATACCGGTAATAATCACGAATTACAAAAAGTACCGGCCTATTCACAGCAAGTTTATGTCTTCTCACACAGTCGACTCCATTAAAATAATTTATTGGTTATCCCTGTCCACCCTGCTCATTCACATCCAGTCCCAGTCTCTCCTTGATCCTTTTAACCCTGCCATAGCAGCTTTTCTCTTCGAACACGGATGCCAACCTACTCACATTGTGTGTGCCCACATAACCATTCACATGTCTTGTTTTTTTATCATTTTTGCTCTCCTCCCGCTTGTTTATTCCCTCTATGATGTTCTGCACGTTCTTCTTATCTGCCATGATTTACTGCTCGTTTTTTCCTTTATAAAAAGTCATTTTGATAAATGGCTATCACAAAATAGCTGATGAATGTGCAATGATCATTTGCTGCAGATAAACAGATTGGTCATGTTTTGTGCTTGTAAACCGTGTGGTGCCGGCTGTATGACCAGCTTGTCTCCATGTGCGGGTGTCCGGTGGTACAAGACCCTGTCATGTTTTGCAATGATAAGCCAAAGGTTCGGAATGAGCAGCGTATTCAACGCCATTGTTTCATAAAGTGATATTGATATTTGTAGAATGGCTGATATACCACGGCATAAACATGGTGACTGCGTGCTGACGTACCTATGCCCAGCAATACCAGAATGCCCTGGTGCACACTCCCGTACATTTTAATAAAACTGCTGTACTCCATTGATGAACAAATATTTGCAACGATCTCACATGCGGTATATCGAGCATGTTTTGTTTTTTTCATTCTTGCTAAACAAATCAACCAAGCCAATGAACCGAATTTGTATTGACAGCATGGCTCACAGATTTAAACAAATAGCTTGTTGCTTTAACTACCAGCTCAACTCTCTCTTCAACCAATGCTCTGCTTTAAATGCTTGTATGAACAGCATTAAAAAACATTTAATGCTGTTCATTTGTATAAAATGCTTTTTACAAAGCGGATGCTACAAGCGGAGTATTTGTGAACAGGATGCGAAGTGTTACGCTTATGCAGAGAATATGAGCAGGACACGAACCAAACATTCTACTCAGAGTCTATTCGTCTCGGTCATACCGCAGTTGGTGTGTTTACTCAACCGACCCGTATAATTGATCTGACTGGTTCATGGACGAACCATGCAGCTGCCGTTCAAAGTCTACAGCTGTTTCTAAGTTTAGAACCATTCTCCTGTCACAAAAATAAACATTGAGCTGTCAAATATTGCATTTCTTATCGGAGAACATAAATTTGACCACTTTGGTCACACATCCCTCAGTTTTGAATGGGGCGTACAAAACGGACAATGCTACCGTGAAACAAAGGGAAAATGTTTCCTAAAAGGTGTTTTTTATTTTTGAAGGGAGTCGACCCGCAAGACTATGCAACAAATAAACAATTTTTGGCTGTAAAACACTACACAAGTCTTTTTGTCTGCCTATTGTAAAAAAGAAGTGATCATCTAGGCGTGTTGAGTTCATTGCCATTTTTGAATGCGGTAAACAGGGTTAACTCACAATTATTGCACGTAAGACAGCATTAACGATCTTTGAATGCGGTAAACAGGGTTAACTCACAATTATTGCACGTAAGATAGCATTAACGATCTGTAAAAGCTGATTCAGCAGTTTTTTGAATGAAGCATATTTGAGAAGGTAAATCGATTCACTTTGAGGTGGCAACTCGTATTTGATCCTAAGAACAATCAAAGATGAAGGAGCAGAACATTTTAATTATACGGCCATTTTCATTGTTATTTTTTCATAGTGTCTGTATCCCTCCAGTTCAAAGTCTTCATACTCGAAGTCCTCAATTCTCTCGATCTTCCTCTTTGGTCGAATGTAAAGCTTTGGAAACTCGTACGGCTCTCGCTTCAGCTGCGTTTTAAGCGCATCCACATGGTTCGAATAGACATGTGCATCACCAATGACGTGCACAAACTCTCCCAGCTCATACCCAGTCATGTAGCCGATCATTGCAGCCAGAATGGAATACGATGCAATGTTGAACGGCACTCCCAGGCCCATATCACCCGACCGCTGGTACAATATGAGTGTTATTTTGTCGTTCAGAATCACGATGTGGTACATAGTGTGGCACGGTGGAAGTGCCATTTCTTTAATGCAAAGGGGATTCCATGCAGAAACAATAAGTCGCCGACTGTTCTTGTCGCGTTTTATCTCATCAATTATGTTTTGCAGCTGGTCGATGCCCTGTCCATCGTAGTTATCGGAGGATGTTTTGTATGGTGCACCGAAATGTCGCCACTGGAAGCCGTAGATAGGTCCTAAGTCACCGGCTGGTCTGTTTATACCGTATTGTTTGAAGAACTCATCGGTTGAATTGGCGTTCCATATGTTCACATTCTGGCTGGTCAATATTTTGTTGTCAGTTTGTGCCTTTACGAAGAATAAAAGCTCCTTCAAAATCAGATCGTAGGCCGTTTTTTTCGTCGTGAGTAAGGGAAACGCATTATTCTCCAGGGAGAATCGTAGAACTTGGCCTGTCAGTGAAATAGTGCCCGTGCCGGTTCTATCCTCCTTTCTGATGCCGTGGGCAATCACATGTTCAATTAAATTCAAATATGCCTTTTCTTCTACGTTTCCTTGCTTTGCCTTGCTTTTTCTGCTGTCATTACAATCAATCGCATCCGATCCGCTCTTATTCACACGCTCAGTCCCATTTTTTTTGTTGTCGTGTCTCGCAATGTCCAGTCCATCGTCTCCCATTTCGTTCCTGCAACGCGAGCAAATATTTGTGTTGTTCTCATTTTCGTGCTTCTCCATGACCCGTGGGGATAAACTTCCTATTTATAGATTCCGTTGTTACCTCCACACTTCATCTCCCACTGATGCGAGCACGAGATCTATCAAATGGCGATAAAATAATTAAATACGACAAACAAGACGCTTGTACAAACATATTTATGATCAGAAATATGTGCAGGTTAATTATGACGGTTTATTTTGTTATTCCGCGTTCAGTCACTGCACACCTCTTCAAGCTGTGCTATCGTACCAGTCAATACGAAATGTAATACACCAGTTTATACAGATAGTGCTACGTGCCCATTGTTGACAACACTGTGCCTATCTCTGCGTCTTTTTTGATCGATTATTTCTGTTTTGTGTCTGTTTAAAATTTTCAAATTGTTTTTTCCCTCTTTTATCCCTGTGTATGTCTTGTTTATAACTTACTATTTTTGTTAATTATCTTTTTAATAGCACAAAGTACTTTTATGGCACAGTAGGTGTTGATGACGAAAAATATGAAAATGAGCAACTTGTAGCGGCAATAATGAAGGAAAATACAAAGCAGATTTTGCGGCAATAATGACGAAAGTATGAAAATGAATGGTTCGTTGCTCGTTGAGCCGTTATATCTTAAATTATTTCTAAATTGTACTTCAAATATAGCACATAATATTTTCTTTTACTTTGTCCCACTAAGATCGCTAAAATATGCCCTTATATGAATAATTGGCACTTTTTTTGTTCTGTAAAGCAAAATATCTCCTTTAGGTACTTATTGCTGGTGATGGCCGCTCTTGTTCATCTGGTGCTAAAACCGGTAGTAATTGCGGATTCTCGGTGCAAAATATTGAAAATACTCTTTTGAGGGATTGAAGTGCGGAGCTACCGTTTGATATACACACAAACATCGCGATTAATTTTTTTATGGACAGTTATCCGTGATTTGATAGTTGCTGTCAACTACCATCTATCTTTACCTTTGAGGACAAAAACACGTTTATTTACCTCTCATATCATGTTGACGAAGGCATTCTTGATCTTATGAAAAATTTTTACCAATCGAACAATTACTCGCTGCAAAGCGCTAATACCTACTGAGCTACCAGCTTCAAAAAAATTTGAAGCTCAGAACCTTTCTATCCATAGTGTCACATACAGATGGACAGTTCCTTGTCATCACACAAGACATGAAAGCTTCTGCGTGCATATTGCATCACATTTCGGGATTGTACACGATAAATGTGGAGAATCTCTGAAGAGAAAGCTTTTTCTCACATATTTTCTTTGTAGTTGTATTTTAAAATGGCACCAATTCCACCAATATCATTCAGTTTCTTACCGCAGGCATGTCCATCGCTAACAATAACTACTTTTTTTGCTTTCCCAACCATCTCAACCATTTTCCTGATCCTTTCTCTCTCCTCCACATCATAAGAACAGTACAACCCGACTGTTACAATCATGGTCTCAATCGCTGAGAACTCGATGGCAGAAAGAACATCCTTGACGCCCAGCGCTATCAGATCATCGGCCTGCTCATACATTCTTAGGAACCGGTTTGCCGCCATAAGATCTTTGATGAATGGAATCGCTGTATTAGTCAAACTAGACAGAATGTTCTCGACCAGTGCCTTGAAAGGAAGTTTTTCGTGTTCCTTCGATATATTGATAGTGTGTGCGGGTATGTTGGTGCTGACCAACAGCGAAACATCGAAATTACAAACAATGTATTTCACCCGGTAGTTGTTTGTGATAGAACGGTGCGTATCACCGCTAGGTTTTTTGCCTCTGTGCCGTCTGCTCGCTTGCTTCATCTCCATTTTATCACATTCACCGTCCTTTTGTGCACCATTCGTGCACCTTTCTTTCATAAATTTTGTAAAATCCTTTTTTTTGTACGTCCCCTTGCACTCAACACCATACTCATCAACAACGCCAATCTCAAACCTTCCATTTCGCATGATAACCACCATAAAAACAACAATATCGCACACCAATCGATCAACCATCTGCCATAGATCGCTGCCCACTTCCAAACTAAAGCAATCATTCAGTCCGATATTCATGTTATGGTAAGAGCCCATCCGCACATTCTCAGCCTCTCTCGCAATCTGTCCTCTCACGCACAACGAGCTGTTTTCAAGGTCAATGGTTACGGTGCACACGCGAATCGTAAGATTTATGGATACGCGCTTTTTTTGGTCGTTGATTTCTACCTTGCGGGTGGTGGACATCGTAATTGTATGGGATGTGCACAGATTTTGGAAGAGAATATGGATGTCGGAGGGGTGAGTAGGCGTAATTCGGAGGGTGTTTGTTGCTTGGTTCAGCGAATTTATGATCATTTTGGTGGGTTAGGGTCAGAACGTAAAAAATGAATTTTATCACCCCTTGAACTTTGTGGACAGGTCTTTTGATTAGCGATACGTGATGTGATAAAACACTTTTATTGAATAATGTGTAGCGATGTGAGATGATACCTGGCAGCTGAGCGGAAAGACTGTCCTATACATCACAACAACTTTGGAGTTGAACCCCTCTTGATAGATGAACCTGTGAAGATGCCCAAAGTTCACATCCCATTGCTCCGAAAAGGTTGTATTAGCAGAAGATGTGTGAGAAGAACAAGATGTGTTAACTCATTGGAGGCAGGGCTGTTTCCTCTGCAGGTAAAACTGTGATTGGTGCAATTTTTAGACCAAAGTACGCCATTTGTGGTATTGATGAAGAAGTGGATGTGTAATGAAATGATAGTAACCGGTAGAATAACGAATAATCCTTTATGGCGGGCATTCTGAACATAACATGGGTCAGAGCCTGTCCACATGCACCCTCAAAATCGTTGTTTTTTGCTTGCAGATCAAATTTTATTCGTGCAGCGTGTCGTTTTATTCGCACCGTGCGTTTGATGATTTCGTGTTCTCTTATTTCATCCATTTATGTTGTCAAATAACTATCTTTGGTGTCTCTGCATCGGTACCCATGCAATGATCAATCACTTCTTGGTTTGTTCCCTATCTGTAAACCTTTTCCTTCCCTTTGCCTCTTGTTCATTAAAAAACTCACATTTCAATGCTTCCTCCGCGCTGAACCTTTCTTCCTCAAAATATCCCAACAAACCGCCTCCCAGTTCGTACAGTTTCCGACTCCGACCGGCAAAATACCCTCCAAGACGTGCCAATACACGCTTTATCCTTTTCAGCTGATCATCCACATTCCTTCCTTTCATCACGTTTGCATTCAATACCATTTCCATTAGTATGCAGCCTATTGACCAAATATCAATCTTATAGGAATAGCTCTCGCCTAGTAGTATCTCTGGTGCTCTGTACCATAGGGTAACAACGTTTGCTGTCAGGTTGTTCTCCACGGGGTTGTCATCAGCATTATTCTCATCGCTGAAGTAAACGGCATCGCTATCATTCATGTGCTTGCTCAGCCCAAAGTCTGCTATTTTAACGTTTAAATCACAATCTATGAGAATGTTACTTGTCTTAATATCCCTGTGCATGATGTTTCGGCTGTGCAAAAACCTTACACCTGTGAGTATTTGCCCGATAACTTTTCTGATTTCATGTTCCTCATATTTTTTAGACATTGTGAGCCGTAAGAGGTCGTTTTCAACGTAATCAAAAACCAGGAACACCGCTTTTCCGGGTAGTACTCCGTGGTCATTATCTACAACTGCTATATCCACTAACTTTATTATATTAGGATGTTCAACCATTTTCAGGATTTTTATTTCTCTGACGAGCATCACGGGCAGACCATCCTCTGCGTTCGTATTAAGAATTTTCTTGAGTGCATATTTTTGAGAGTTGAACTCTGACAGATACACAGCACCGTACGTTCCTTCACCGATTTTGCGTATCAGTTTGTAGGCGTATGGAAGACGTGGTTCCGTCTCAATTTCATCCTCAGAGGTTTCCATGGCAAGCCCTTAAGTTCGGTGTTTTTTATGAAATTGATGTGATGGCACAATGCGTGTTTTGTTCGTATAATGATTTGTGTGTTTGATCTTCTTTACCAGTGAGGAAGGTCATTTTATTTATTTATACTTGGTATGCAGGGTTAGAGTAGCCTGGCTATAATGATACAGAAACCATGCCAGGGATGTTTGCATTGGAAAAAAGCTTTTTCTATGTTGAATGGCCGTATTTAAAATGATTACAAGTATTATTTGGATGTTATTGATGGATGAAAAGATAAATAAACATGCTTTTGGTGAGAAAAAATAATGCCTAGCAATATCTTTTCCTACTATTGTCTTATTACTGAGATCTTTACTTCATAATACCAATATAAAGTGGATTGTTCTTCTTGAACAACACCAGTCGGAGTCATTTATTCAACTTCTTGTTTTGGGCTGATCCGCCCATATGTTACACCAGTGTGGTTATGTTTAGATACCGCGTTACCTATTCCAGGTATTTAAATGCTATAACAGGATACATAATTGAATGCATGTATCGATTTTACATGTTACAGAACCCATTTATTCAACCAAGCCGAAATTCGATCAATTCATACCTGCTCACCCTCATTCCATAATCTTTTCTACACCTAGGTGAAAGTTTTTGTGATCTCTCATTGCATAGTACATCACGTGGCAGGATATTAGTACAGATATCGAGAATAACGCGACTTTAAAACCAATTAAAGATGAACACTTACCATATACTGTATGTATCCTCGACACGAACGATGAATAAACTGACCAAGTGCAATTTGCAGTATAATAAATTGAAAAATACGAGGCCAATACAAAATATTCTCAAATTTGAGCTTTCTACAACCGAAGAAGCCCGTATGAATATCGTACTCCCAGCTATGATAGCCATAGATATTTGATTGGCCCTAAGTAAGCACACATATGTAAACTCTTGTCCGTTGAATATCACCAGTATGATTACGTTCAGAATGTAAAGATGCAGGCTCACATTGAATTTTTTGCGCGTTATAAACGCCTCTATTAATTAAACAAATGACTTACCTTTCATATGTATGTCTAGTCCCGTTCGTTTAGAGCAGTACCAAAAGAATTCGCATTCAGCGGCTCTGAAGACATGCACATTGTACAATATTTCGCCTAAATTGCACAACACCATCGCTGTGCTAAATATGCTTTCGTAAATTTTCTTGTTCGCCAGAAATAAGACGATATTGCTCACAGGTAGGAGACATTCAATTCCTAAGATATATGTGTACAAATACATCTGGAATACATTCCTGTGAAGCAGCGCATGCACGATGAAACACATACCATATATGTTCATCGTTGTCATGAGGAAACTACTCTTTATAGCGATTTCGTGGTCTTTGATGTCGTCATGCAAATTGATATACCACCATATGCCTATCATTAAACTTTTGAACATGTGAATTCCATAGAATTTCCAAATATGGACTTGTGTACCCTTTAATGCCATTTTTGCTCAGCTAACAGGCACATAAATACGTAAATGGTAATATAAGTCATCTGTCAAAATACTTTATAACTTAATTTGATTTGTATTTAGATCGAACTAAAATGGCAAGTTTAATCTAACTTGTATTAAAGCGTACCGTTTGGAATACCAACCTACATTATAGAGCAGAACTTTCTGAATTAATTTATAGAAATTAAGGTGTGTTGACATTAAGTAAATTACCTTGGTATTGACATAATCAATAACACTCATCCGTGATTGAGTTGCTTAAAAATTTTGTTCACGAATTGAAAGTGAAAAGTTGTTAAAACTTTCACTTTAGCAATGCTGTGTTAATTCCGAAGTGTTTTTAAGATTCATTGCGCAAGTATTGAACAATCTGATGTTCAATACTCTTTAGAAATGATCACGTATTCAGAAACAACTCCGCATATAGGGCATGTCCTTACTGTACATTTATTTGCTCAGCAACTTGCAAACTGTTTTATCACCCATTCATGCTGCTGATAGTGCGAAAATTCAGTAAATCAGATCTGTAAATACAGTTACACAAATAATACTCGTTTTATTTTGCCATTCGATGTCTAGCACGGTATAGTTTTATGTTTGTTCCTCCTCACCGATCCAGGGATTCTCATCTTCTTTGTAGCTGATTATTTTGCTTCCATCAGGCATAGTTTCATCATTTTCCTCCTCTTTCACTTCCACTCCCTTTTTCTCGGCAGTTTTACAAAACGAAAAAAACAGTTCATACGCGTCTCTCAGCACAAATGACTTGATCTTTATGGTGTTCGATACAAAAAGGTTTTTGAGCATCGGAGATTTCCGTCCTGTTATGATCAGCTCCCTTTTATCCTTGTCCAATTTGATTAATTTGTCCTTGATGGTAATCGGGAATCCTTTCAGTATCCCTCTGCTCACATTGAAATGGTTAAATACGTGTTCGCTAAAAAAAACGAGTTGCTTTTCTTCCGTAGTGTTCAGAAATTCGTTTCGTCCAAAGAAAAACGATATGCCGCGATTGTAATCTCCTAGTTTCTTGAGAAGAGCCTTTTGGTCGTCTGAAAGTTCCAGGTAAAGTACAATGCTGTCAAGGTCATATGCGTGTACGAATTGAGTCTCAGTCACTATTACCAGCGCATGCTTTATGTCATAATTCCTCCTAACGCGAAAAATCCCGTATTTTCTCACGTTGATATCTCTTGTTATCTCGGGATTTCTGCTTCTCATGTCGTTCACTATCGCTTCGTAAGCATCCTCAAATTTCGTTTCGTTTTTCTCCTCTCTGTTGTTCATTGAACAGTCCTCATTCTCTGGAAAGTCGAAGAAGCAATCTTTTTTAAACCGCTGCTCATCAATAAGCACCTCCTCGCCGCACATCAAAAGACTTTTATAGTGATTTCTTTGTATGTTTAGGCTTGTAGTTATGATTTCATGATATTTCTCCGATATATTGATGAGCTCTTTGTCATACACAGCTACTTCCTTCTTTAAATTTTCATTCCACGCCTCATTCTCATCCAGGTACTTTTTTAATGCCTTTCTCAATTCCTTCTCTGTCAGCCAGGTATCGACAATCCCGCTAGACCATGCCTCCAAATGGTTCTGTTTACAAACCATCAGGTCATCTAAGTATTTTTGCAATGCTTTGTTAAATCTGTCCTCCAGACCGTTCAGCTCGCTGATCTTGTCCTGCAACTTCTTTAAAATAGCCTTACACTCAACCACAACGGTAATTTCGTACATTCGCGTGAGTTCGTCAAACGAATTCCTTGACTTGTCCATCATTTCCACAATGTTGATTATACTTACATCCTGCCAACGCGTGTTTCTTGGTATTTGGGTGCAGCGAAAATACAGCTCAGCTGTTCGCCTACTTATAGTGGTCACGTGATCCAGAAAAGATAGGACCCATCCCACTTTTTCCTCTGCCAGCTTGTACTCTTCTAAAATCGGTGTTATTAGTGACATGTCCGGTGTGCAATAGCCCAATTCAGTTTTTTGTCTTTTGATCACAAGTTTTCGTTTTGCCACGAAATTTGTTACAAAAACATTTTTCACAGCCACAAGATTGTGAAAACATGAATGGCCCATTTTATACGGCATATCATGTGCAAGCAAATCAACATTGCTGTTGTTGGGTGTCGCGTTTAGATGACTTTTGCATCTTCAACACAAATCATCAATTTTGTGGCTTTTAATTTTATTTAGTGACGTAAAGCAGCATTTTTACAAATTTGTGCATCAGAACAGCCAAAATAAAATTTAAAGTAATTACCAAGCACCGAACAGAATTACAAATGCTTTTGACACACCTGTCATGACTACATCTACAAATTTAAAACAAATGTTTTCAACAAAGATTTACATAATTAAAAATACAACAGCCACTAATATCTGCACGTGGTCACATATTCCTACGCTAGAAACTCTTCTATTGTGCTCCCTTCCAACCATGTGTTAAATAAAGATAGAATCGTAAAACACGAAGAGTATTGATGCAGCATCCAAGATAAGATAGCTTGCAACCCAGAACACCCACTGACTTTTCTTCTTGAGAGTGGCCACGTTAAACATGTAAAAAACATGCAATATAACAAATAACAAGTTCGCAAAATTTTGCAATTCGATAAAACCTTCTATAAATGGAATCAGGACATAGATGATGAAACCCACACTGACGGCTAAGAGTATAGCCGATATCATCAATCTAAAGGGTGTCCATCGCAGTTTACTGTGGGATCTATGGGACCTTCGCGACCGAAGCGAGTACTTAGATTTGGCCATGTAAAACGAGTGTGGAGTGGTTTTGTATCCTAAGATGAAACATTGTGAGAGAATACACAATTAGCACTTGCTTGCAAAGAACCAATCACGTAAGAAATCAAAAATAAAGCGATGAGTCTCTGATGGACAACGGAATGAACCATAACTGTTCGCATGCTTAGCATTAACAAAAGCCTAAATTGTATTTTACAACTATCGTTTTGAACACTGTAAAAGAAATCGATTTCTGCATCTTGCCCATCGCTTGAACCGCTGCACGAGCATTCGGATCATTCTCAGAGTACTGCTGATCAAGATGATGGAATAAAAGATCCGCCCCGATAGGGACTCGAACCCTAGACCCTCAGATTAAAAGTCTGATGCTCTACCGACTGAGCTATCGGGGCTCACGAACCTAAATACATAGCACATTATAATAAAATGATGATAATCGTATTTAGCACTATGTTTAGTTAAGACTACTGCGTAGCTCTCGCTAAAATGATGTGGAAAATAGAAATTACAACGTGTTCATTGCTTATGTTATTGCTCAGATATTTTGCGATGAGTTTGTTCACTAGTGTTAAATCCATCTTAATTTATAAAATCATGTCCAAGTCACAGCATAGCGATGTATCGATTTGCCAACGTAAACAATTGAAGTACCCACAAAATTAACAAAACTTTACAGCTTTTTGGTATTCCAGACTTTGGGCACAATCAACAACCTGATATTGCAATTTTACACCACCATTCCAACCATTTCAGCCGTCTATCCCAAAATACTAAATTCTCTTAATCAAATATACAAAGAACACAGTCATCTTAAATTGATTGGTAGCGTGTTACAGGAAATCGTGCGCCAATAAATTCTTGAATGCAAATCCTTTGAAATCAGAGTAAATTGGGGATGCTATGACATAGTTGAAATAATCAGAATAGCAAATCGTAACTGCCCAGAAACGCATGTTTAATAGTGTTTCAACCCGTATAGGGTGCAGTTTATCCTATCTTTTCATCCCATGGAATGTTTAGGTGAAGACAGAGTGCATACTACGGCAATAATGTTCTCAAAAATCAGATTGTTTAAACATTTTAATCGCTGCCATACACCGGCATGACAGTAACCCCCTCCAAAACAACACCGTAGCCAATAAGCCTCCAGTGCCCGTGTATCTTCTTAGAGATAGAAACTCTCTCTCCTTTCTCACAGCACGCCGGCTTAACAAGGCTGAGTCGCACTTTGTCATTTTCTAGCTTTATGATTGTCGATCCTGTGGTTGTACTTCCTATATTAACAAGTATCTGCTCATTCAGCGTGATGAGATTCCGCTTGTCGGTCCGTTTATCAACGCCACTAATCTTCTGGAACAGCGAGTAAAAAACCAAAATTTCCACAAAAATATCGGGCAGTTCGCCTTTTCTACCCATCACCTGGCCAACAAGCTTGTCAGCCCTGCAGAAGAATGGATCAAGCAGCGTGCCCACTCCAATCAAACCGCCGGGTTGTGCTGTGCTGAGCAGGTTCTTTTCTGCCTGAAGCGATGTCACCCGTGTTATGAACGGCCTACACTCTACCTTGTTGCCCTTCCTGTGTATTATGCCCGGTCTGATCTCTATTTCATCATCTACGTGCAGTTCCCCCTTGATGAGCGACCCACCGATAACGCCACCCCTGAGCTCCTCTATGCCGCACCCCGGTTTGTTAACATCAAAGGATCGTATGATCACCATTCGTACATCGTGTTCCTTGCTCCTTTCCGGTTCAGGGAAATAATTAACGATAAAATCGAGAATGGCACATACATTGATGTTGAGCTGACCCGATGCCGGAACAATCGGCGAGTTTTCAGCCTTTGTATTTTTTATGAACGCAACTATCTGGTCCTTCTGTTCCAGTGCCTGTTCCCTTGACACCAAGTCTATCTTATTTTGCACGATTATGAACTTTTCTAGATTCATGATTTCCACTGCAAAGAGGTGTTCCTGTGTCTGTGGTTGGGGACAAGGCTCATTCGCAGCAATAAGAAGCAGAGCAGCATCCATTATTGCGGTTCCGTTGAGCATCGTAGCCATAAGGACATCGTGTCCCGGGCAGTCGACAAAGCTAACATGCTTGATCAACGTGCTCGTGCCCTCGCAGCTGTCGTTCGGACACGAAATTGAGAAAGGCGATGAGCTGTTCATGGCGCTGTAGCAGTCCGGTCGCGGACATACATCGCACTTGTAGATTTTAGCGTTTGCATAGCCCAGCTTGATGGTGATATTTCGTTCCAATTCTGAACGAAACCTGATGGTGTGTATGCCACTTATTGCTCGTACTATCGTTGACTTGCCGTGCGCTACGTGGCCTATTGTGCCAATGTTTATGGTTGCCTGGTTCATTATTGTGTGTTCGTGTGGAGTAGAAGGTGCATCGTGCATATGAAGGTGAAGGGTAAAATTTTTGAGAAACGCAGAAAAACTACGGAATATAAAAGCATGGGCCTGCGACTGAATAACTCAGGTACATGGTGTATATCCGTGCTGCGTGGCAGTTCAATCGGTAACCGTGCATGGTACCTCAGTAGCTGCTAAAACCGTGCTATTCCTGTTATTCATTCATTTTTCTACGTTTTATTCATTTTTGTCGTACTCGATTGGTCTGTTGTACCACTGCTATGAACACCTCAACATTAAAGGTGTGTAGGTACCAACCGTTCATAGACAGTTTCTGCGCAGCGTACTAATTTAACCACTAATTTTTACCTGTACTCTTAGCAAAAAATAGTTTTCGTCTTTATACCCATCCTCAAACATGGATATAATTACTCTGATTGGTCATTATAGCCATCAGATGCCAGCTAACTGCTGAACATCAGCAAATATTCGTTTGTATTAGTGTGAATTAAGGTTCTCAATAAATCTATCCGCTTAAATTTTGTATGTCCCAAATCCTAGCGCATAATTGCTAGGATTGTTACCCCTTCATGCCAACATAAATGAGTTTCTTTCCACAAAAATTACAGACATCGTGTTACACACGTATCAGTACCATGCGCTGCTCTGATGCCTAATAAACATGCTTTTAGCAAAAAATACTCCTATATCTGTTACATTACACCAGTCTTAATTCCATATTAAACCGTAGTGCGGAGCACAGCCCGATGATTCCTGATACGTATCGAATATTGTTTTCATCGAACCAACAGGATAGGTTTGTTCTGAAGTAAATTGGATTTTAAACCTTTGAAACAAAAATTTTACTCTTCAAACACGTGCCCTGGCAATTCGTTCTGATGTGTTTGACAGGTTCCACAATAAATTCCGTTTAATAGACGATAATACGGTAAAATTGCTGGTACTATTGTTCACAATCTCAACATTAAGTAAAGTATGCCATTTTTGCAATGAGAATGACATCGATTAAGTCCTTCATCTACTTTTAACATGTCTTAGTCCTATCGAAAGTACGTTTATTTAGCTCTTCCATCACAATTTATTAGATGAGATATTCCTCATACTAACCGGTTTGCAATCATATGAGGCTTTTCACACGTACATGGCATCAGTACCTAATTCTGTGCACAGAATCCGTGGTAACAACATCATGGTGTTACCGTGAAATATGGTCAACCTACAGTATGTGATAGCTAGCCTAACTTTGAGTGCTAACTAAATAGGATACAAATCTGTATAACAAAGATAAAAAATAGGGATATTATTTCTATTGGTGTGGTTTCACAGCGCTGTGGATCATTATCTGTCGCAAAATTGCCATGCCTAATAAAATTAATCAATGGTGTATGAACTAGCGCAGCTTTATTGTGAAGACATTGGAAAGGTACACCTCATAGCTTGTTATGCTTTGTGTTGTAGGACAGTGACAGAGACTTGGAATGAGCACGGCACCAGCTACTGTTTAAATGTATGGCAACCAGGCAAGTTGTGCTTGATGTTGTATACTTCATGGCAATGTGCCTTCGCATTTCTATACGCAGGAGAATCCGATTGAATATCCATTTAAGGCATGATTTAATTCTGAGGATGGAGTGTAGAAGAACAGCTCACACGATTTAGCACTGTTCATACCAAAATCTTCAATTTATACGGAGTAATGCCAACTGGTGATATTTTGGTAAATCGGTCGACATTCATTCAATTAACGGGTAGGATTTTTACTTACCAAATAGAATTTTGTGGTGACAGCTCTCCGATTTGTTCATGGTGCTGAAAGAGCGATTCTTATTTATCGAATAGCTAAAAACGCCTTTCGTGCTCGTGTATTGGAATATTTTGCACCATAGGAGCTGCCAACATCGGTATTAAGGGTCTTGTTGCATCTACCACAGTTGTGCAAAGTTCTTTACAAAGTAAATTTGAGAGTATGTTCAATCAAAGACACTCAAACACACAATAAAATTTAGTAAAATATTTGTTTGTGTACGAAAAACCTCAAAACGGTCTAAATCGATGAATTAATTGCTCTATCACCGGTCTAACTGGCACATCAGAACATGTGCTCAGAATTGCAGTAAATCGTTGAGTAACGAGAATAGATCACATAAACACAGTGATTGACATAAAGTACAAATCGCACCGAAGATCATGCTCGTTTATACCTATCAAATCATTTTTCACATTTTCGTTTTATCATATGCAAAAAAAGCTCATGAACCAACCATTTTACAATATAGCAAGTTAATTACACCAATGTAAATCAGCAATATTAATTCGTTTCAGGGCTACTGACGTCTTTAATGGATAGAGCCGGTTTAACACGTTTTTATTGGACTTTGAGAACTCCTTTATACACGAGTATCACACAGAAACTGCATTTTAAACAACACGCACAACTGTTATGTACTCTTGTTCACAAAATTAAACCTGCCAGTGATATCTAATTCGTAGATACTGCCGAATATGTGATCGGTTGGTGCCCCTTAATACATCATCTCCTGTGATCAAAACATCATCGCACTATAAAAACAAAAATAAAAAGGACCATAGGAATACAATGGCGAACAAAGACATGAACAACAACTTTGGACAAGATGATAAGAAGAAGCAGATGGCTGATAGTGCAAAGCAGACATATGGAAGCACAAAGGATAAGGCCGGACAGATGGCTGGTAGAGCTGGCGAGGAAGGCGAGCACTTGAAGGGAAAGACACAGGATATGAAGGGCCCTGCACAGGAAAAAGGCGAACAGATTAAGGGAAGGACCGGTGAAATGGCAGACAGCGCAAAGGAGAAAGGCGAGCACTTGAAGGGAAAGACACAGGATATGAAGGGCCCTGCACAGGAAAAAGGCGAACAGATTAAGGGAAGGACCGGTGAAATGGCAGACAACGCAAAGGAGAAAGGCGAGCACTTGAAGGGAAAGACACAAGAGATGAAAAAACCTGCACAGGACAAAGTTGGTGAAATGGCCGATAATGCAAAGGATAAATATGGAAACGTCAAAGAGAAAGCCGGACAAATGGCAGACACTGCAAAAGGGAAGTATGAAGAGGTAAAAAATAAAACAAAAGGAATGACAAGCGATGAGAAACAAAAAGGCGGTGATATGCAGGGCAAAGGCGAACGGGCATACGACAAAGTAAAGGAAGTGGGTGAAAAAGCAAAGTATAAAACAAAGGGAGCCGTTGACAACACCAAGGAAAAACTTGCAGGTGTGAAGGGTAGCGCAAGACAGACAGCAGACAAAACAAAGGAGGCAGGAAGAGAAACAAAAAGCAAAACGAAAAGAGGGGCTGACAAAATGACAGGAGGAGATGCTGATGCGGAAAGTGAAACAGAGCAGGTCGTTGAGTGTCCTAAGGATGAGTATGAAAAGATAAAAAACAAATTGCAGGAGAAGTTGACGCAGGATTACTTCAAAGATGAAAGGTTCAAAAATCATAATCCGTTTTACTGCAGCTATGGCAGAGAAAAGAATGAAAAAGATGAGAAGAAGCAGTGAAGAATGCGAATTTAATAAAGTTAAGTATTAGAAGTTATGGCTGTGTACCACCAAGGAGATAGAGACTATGTCTGCGGTGCAGGTTATGTCTTGGTGCTATTTAAACTCAGATGTATGTGTTTTGCGGTATCTCGCAGCTATTCTCCCTGGTTAGTGCAGGCAACCTTTTTAGGGAAGCAAATATGTGCTAACAAAATGCTGTAAGTTCTTCTTTTTCAATTCATCTGTTTATCTCCTCATACGACAACAACATTCCGTTACGATCTGTTTTACTGATTTTTAATTCATGTGCTTCTATTCTACGAATTAAGGATCAGCAAAATTTATCTTGAACTGTATTTAGATCAAGTATCAGATCATATCACTGCGAATGCATGTTTTAGATACCAGATCTTCACCTGTTTACGGTAAAATTATGGTATTTATTTGAGTCATTATCTTATCAAGTTTTATCCTGTATTTACACACAGTACAATTTTTTTTGCTCCTCACGCGTTACCGATCATTCGCATGTTTCTTATCTTTTATGAAATCAGGCCGTTATTATTTGTTTGATATTTAAATGTTCACACATTTTATTCAAAGCAAGTATTGCACATCCGATCATTCATTTCCGTAGAGTCCTTAAATACATGTCTATCACCCTCACGGTACAACTCATCATTAATTTGTTATAGTTTGCCACCAATTTATGTATCACCCAAACTTCTTTTATCCTCAGTTTAGCAGCTGGTCCTTATAGCCAAATGATATTTTTATATATTTTACATCCACCATAATGAATATGGTACTAGCAAATATGCAACGATCTGTTTTTGAACACGCGTTGTTAAGTTTATAGTAACATTTTTGCATTAAAGAATTACCTTACCACCTCTTATTCATTTGTATGATGTGTATAACGTTTTTCTTCAAACCTTATCAGGTATTCATTAGTAATTAAATTTTTATATTTTAGCATTTCCACAATTACTTCAGCAGTGAACTTGTAATATTTTTGATATGATTGTTATAACTACTACTCTCTCGTATCAACACTTAATAAAGTGACCTTTTCAAACAACAATAGTTACCGTACCTTGGAGTATTACACTTGATTTTCAGAAATTGCTCCATTTACATCACACTAATTAAAAATGTTTTTTGTGGAAAAAGGTCCTCCTTACCACAAGATAAGGGCCATAGTTCCAAAAATTTTAGAACCGTAGCTGTTTTCACCTACCGCAGCACATCAATCTGCTGGCTCATAAATCATCTCTACCGAACCGGAATTAATCCATCACATGTAATTTGATGTCATATAAATAAAAAGTTTTATTAAAAATTTTCACACCGCCAACATAACATGATCATACCAAAATGATACGTGTATTTACATTGCAGGCATGATAAGATACAATTGAACGATGGATTGTACTGGAAAGAACAAATGAACGCAATTCTCCTCTTTCAGAACATCAAGTGTTAGCATTACGTATGCTAACCAGCACGTATTCGTTAAGCACCATCTTATACACTTCATAACATTGATATTCCCTCCTGTATGGTTGGTTAGCGCGCACCGAGTGGGCATTCAATGCCTGTATGCAGTCGCTCGGTATGGTAATATTTAATTATGCCTAAATTGCTCATCAAACAAGAGAGAGAAATAAAATGTGGTAGATATATCTTGTAACACAGCACGTACATCAACAAAAACATGTCTGTACCGTGCAAAATAATAAATTGTATGACTTTCTTCTTACTGCTTGGTTATCGCAACTGCCGTGTGATATTATCGATCTAAGCGTGTGCGCTAATATGTATTCGCCACAAATATTCATAATATAATATTTGTGATAAATGATAAACTAAATGCTTATTTATACACGATGCAGCATCGTATCTCATTTATTACACAACAATCTGCATCCTGCTTTGCAATTAACGGTTTATTTTGCTAGTTCATAATTTTACTTCAATTCTCCACACTGGAGAACCCTTATGAACCACAAACGGATGAAAGGTAACGATGCATTTAAGAGCAAAGATTACAAATCGGCATTGGCATTGTACTTGGACTCGTTAAAAGATGTCCTGAGACTCAAGAAAATGACAGAATGGTATGCGAGGGAAATCAAAATGGCGATGATGACCGCACAGAACGAAATACAATATAATAACGATGATGTTGCCGGCAGCTATATTGATTCGAGGAAGAAAATGGCAATTCCCATTGTTCTTAGGCTCAAAATTTGCAGCGCATTCATTGCATTCCTGAAAAACGAGCACTTCCTTGTTTTGCTGAACATTTCAACGGTGTATTACAGACAGTATGACATCCACAGTGCTATGGCACATGCACAGATGGCGTGTAATATCAGAGAAGATGATCTTAGCTGTTCCAAAATGGCGCTTTATCTTCTAAGAAACGGTGACATGTCGTTTAAGTACTACTACGAGAAAATAAAAGACATAACTCCTTTTCTAGAACTGAAAAACGCTGTGGATGGAATGATAGACAGCAATATCGTAAAATACTGCAAGAATGTTTGGGGTGATGAGGTAAACGACATCTGTTATGGAAATGAGACACTGCGGACTTACTTAGTGGACTTGGCTGATGATGACACGTGCAATCTGAAACCGAAAACTACGGGAAAATGCGGTGTATTTGGTGATGAAAGCATGGAAGGTGTGAGTGAAGCAAAGGAGAGTGGTAGTACCGATGGAGAGGAGGTTCAGAGTCGCGCTAGCACTAAGAACGGCTGTGGTGAAGAGGAAAATACGAATTTGGAAAAGGAAAATTGCGCAAGAAATGCACAGGACGATGCACAGGTGAAGAGTGCTGATGCGCAAGGCTGCAGCACAAGGCTCAACGGCATAAGCGGCGGGTTGTTTGAAAAACCGTTCAGCTGCAAAACACTTGATGTAAAATTCGTGTTCAAGGTGTTGCTGGATGGCATCAGACTGTACAAGAACGTTTTTAATGTTTATAAAATTAATGTAAAGGGGAAGTATTATGTTTTTGGTGACACACATGGCAATCTCAGAAGTACATACGAGGCAATACGAAGGATCACACACAATTTCAGCGCATCTTTTGAAGACCATTTGATATTCAACGGCGATTTCGTAGACAGGGGAAAATGCGGCCTGGAACTGGTGGTGTTCTTTATTCTGCTCAAATTGTCATATCCAAGAAACGTGCACATGAACAGAGGCAACCACGAGTTCGCTGTTACCAATCGGCAGTTCGATTTGTACGACCAGATAACAAGGCGGTATCCTTTCCACGGCACGTTTGTGTACGAGGCCATCAACGTATTCTTTCAAGCGCTCCCACTGTGCACGATAGCAAATGATAGCGTATTTATCGTGCATGGCGGTTTACCTGCTGATAGATTTACGATCCAGGACGTGTATAAGTTGAACAGGTTTGTGACAAAGGTCAGCAACGGCTTGTTAGCCGGCTTGATGTGGTCTGACCCGATGGAAATTACCGGGCATGAGCCATCACGACGCGGAATCGGTGTGCATTACGGCCAGGATGTTACAGAACGGTTTCTTGGCGAAAATAATTTGAAATTGGTCGTGAGGTCGCACGAATATTTCGAGGAGTGCTACAGAACTAATCACGGTGGTAAGACCGTGACTGTGTTTTCCAGCGCAAATTATGTTGACAGCGGCAATTTTGCAGTTTATTTGGTGTTCAATGGCGATAACTATGAGAATTACGAAGTTGTGCGGTTTTGCTGATGAAATCCATTCGTTCTCCGGGTATTTGAGAGCGGCTTTGGTGCGGCAGCTTTTAATCATCTGAATTGGCAAGCATACCCGGTTGCGATTAGAAATGGTATTGCTAGTTTCAAATAAATTATCTATTCATAAATTTAATGCATGTATTCAGTGTTGTAGCAGTTTGGGACGAAGTGTCTGCATATCACTCGGCATGCGTTCTTTTGTTGTAGATAAACGGTTGGAAACGATAAAGATTTTGCAGATATTTTCGTCTTAGTTTGTAGCTAAATACTAAGGAAGAGACAGACTTTCTCCTACGAATGAGCGTAATGATTATTTAATGCTTTTTAAAAGGTTCTGCCCTATGGGATGTATCTTATGAGCAATTTTCCACCTGCGATAGCACTATTTAAAAACTGATGGGTTAATAAAACACGATTTATAGAATGATCAGACCAGCTTAAGAACGTTGTTTGGAAAATGATATGATCATTAATCCCATGTTAATGGGTGCAGGGCTGATTTGCAAGGAATTAATTGACATGAAAAGTTGCTGTTGAATTAAATATTGGTATATACACTCTCTAAGAGGGCCCGCTATTCTTTTATATAGTTTCAGTGAGAAAGTACAAGTGGTTATTTCATAGGAGAATATGATTATCCGATTAATAGGTACGAATACAATCAAGTTATACTGCATCCGTGGTCTTGTACAGGATAACTTTCCACCTTTCAGATAGATTCAAAACCATATCTTGGACTTAAGGTCGTCAAAGTCACATACACTGGGAAGAATTTCCAAGATGTTGAATTATAAAGGAATTTGATTTAAACTGAGGTATGAGATGTGAGGTGCTTCAAATCAATAGCTTTCACGAACAAATTATGTATTATGGCATTATATTTATTTATCACTTTAGTACATCGATACGAGCTATTTTTGTCAAAAAACGTAATTTACTATTAGTTTGGCTCTTTAATCAAGAATGAAAGCCCAGTTTACCTTTCTTCACGGGCCAGTGTAAACATATACCATAAGACGAGATGCTTGGGACTGCAAAACAGCGAAAATAATGCGATATACAGCCTTAAGAACATCTAGTATGAAACAAACCTATTACCAGGACACGTTAGGTTTAAATATAGCTGCAACTCCTGTTCGTCCCACATCACTCATCTCTGGGATGGAACGAATAGAAAGCTCGACTTAGCACATAAAAACAAAGTAGTGGTGTATTCACGTCTTCCGAGCAATCCACCAATTCACGCTCAAGACTCAGCTTTGCCGCACGCAAATTATTAAAGTAACGATAAAACAGGATAAAATCTAGACACTCTGCTCTAGCATTTAAGGAACCACTTACAGAAGTGTAAAAACGGCAATACTAATACCAGCGCATCGGACACGAGTAAAAACTTATCTTACGATGCCATTTTTTTTACTTTTTCCAGTTGCACTCACACATTTCACCTGTTTTTTCCACTCTGTTGGCCATCTGCAATGTCCTCAGAATTTCATCGACGTTCCGTCCCATTCTGTTATCACCTACACTGAAATGCACAAGATTTCTTTTCTTATCCAGTATAATGGTAGCTCGCGCACAATTCCCTGCTGGTTCGCAGATGTTGAAGTATTGAGACAAAGAGCGATCATAATCGGAAATAACCGGCCATGTGCATCCCTTAATGCCCTTATCTGATCGACTAACCTTCATCCATGCTTGATGACAGTAAATCGAATCACAGGACACGAATAAAACAACAGAATTGACATCCTCGAATTTGGATTTGCTGTCCGATATTGCGTTTATCTCTGTTGGACAAACAATCGTAAAATCATACGGATAGAAGATTAGGACAACGTACTTATTGGCATAGTCAGACAGACTAATCGTCTTCACTTTGTCTTTGTAGACAGCTTCAAAGGTTAGATCGGCGGTATAGGTTTGCGGAAGGTTTCGCGAAATTGCCATGGGTGCCTGTTTTCTCAAAATTTTACAACTTTCTTTGAAAGTGTCATTTTCGAACAAAAGAGAAAAATAAATGCGGAGTATTATGTGCGTACGAGTATGATGCTGTTATTCAAGGAAGACATTTTATTTGATGTTGGCATAAGAGAACAATAGCTGTAACCGGTACTTACACGAATACATGTAATAATATCCTATCATACAGAACATCCAAAATCATAAAATACATTCCATATTGAGCGTGAATGTAAGGAGAAGCGATTCGGATCAGGATGTGGCATATAAAATGGATTATACAGCACAGTAAAAGGAGTTTTGTATCTTCTGTGACGGATAAAAAGAGAAACTGGTAAAAAGCAGTATAACCTAGTGGTATGACTTGGCACAAAAGTTGAAGTTGATAGTAATAGCAATTAATTGTTCATACCAACGTTGAATATGATGCCTTCCTCAAACAAATAAGGAGTAAATCATTCTAATTATAATAATTCGTGGTCATGTTCCAGTTATCTCCTTAAGATTATCCTAAATGCACATATAGATCTAGGAATAATATTAATTGAGGTTCAAACATCATTGTATTGAGCTAAATCATCAAATTATCATTAATAAGAGTGAATATTTGCTAATTTTCGTACATTTAAAGGAATCTTACTTACGATCAAACGCGTTTATCGCAAGGATCTGTATTGTACGAGGATCATCTGGATTAAAAATGTTCAAACATAAAAGCAATTCCAAAAACGATCATCCTAATTCGGCAGTATTCTAGAATCGTCCCAATTGTAAAATGTTTTCAAGAAAAAATGTCTTCGTCTAGGAGTAAATGTTATAGTTGCCGAGGATTTGTTTAGAGGATTACAAAACTATAACGGCAGTTCCTTTTACACTCCATTTATTCGGCAAGGTTCATTTCCAGTAGGAATAGTAGTTTCTTCGGTATGCCATCTCGGAGAACATGTTGTTTGCGCAATATTCACATCACTTGAGCGATGTTTACAATCGCATTAAGCCAAAAATGAGAATCGTACCAATTCTCAGCCTGTAATAGATGCCATAGTAACGCATCTTATAGTATTTGCTCAATATCACCACTTACATAACGAAGTTTTAAATGAGTACATGTACAAACAGTGCTCGTGAAACGATGAAAAAACACATTCCTGAAATATATATGGTCAAAACCTAATGCTTACAAGACATCGTCTCTTTTTTATATAAATTACCAGGTAAATATTTTGTTAGCTTCATCTATACAATCTCCGATACATTTAAAAAGAAAACAGCATCAAAATAGTTTATATTTCTCTAATGACTCACTGATTGTAAAAAAGTGTTGAGTAGGATAATAATTTCTAGAGCACTGAGCTAAATTTGTACCATTCATAGCATCTCTTCATAATAATAGGATGTTAGAATAACTAATTTAATTTATAATAGTGTCAACTGATCTGTAAAGAATCATTTCACACTGTACTCGTTGTTAATTCGATCCTTTATTCATTTTTTTCCATTTTAATTGCTCAATTTTCATTCGTTCACAATGCAAATACAAAAATAGTAGCTTCTATTTCTGTGACTGTCCTGTCCAATCATACAACAGATTGTCGACTTCCAAAATAAAATTACGAAAACTATATAAATAGATGACAGAGTTTGCCCACCATGCTAACATTCAAATATTGCACATGTATTTTGTCGATCTTGTTTGCTTGGATGAATACAGTAACGGCTATTACGACTGCTACTGAACAAGTGATGGATGGTTTGGGAATTATAAATTATCGTATGAGTACGGTAAATTTTTTGAATGTACACGATCGAAGATGGAGAATTACGCAATTGTATGTGCCGCTTAATTATAATATCGATCGTTTACAAGAGGAATCAAGGAGGATTGTTAATATGTTGATTTCATACAATACTCACTATAAAAATGTTCCTGCATGTGCGAATGATTCCGAATCAAAAATGGGAGATAAATTACAGAAGATCATAGATGCCAATAAGCAAGCGGGAATCGCAGATAAGAACAAGTTTACAGAGATTACCAAGGAATTTTGCGATGATTTTCACAGCTTAGTGAAAGAAATTGTTAATGATTGTCAGTCCAGTGACAAAAAAGGACTAGCAATAATCGAGATAGATCTTGACAAGTTAAACGATATGTACGCGGCACTATTGGCTGTTGTTGATAGAAGGGTAGATAAGGAGTTTTTAGGAGATTTTCAACGTGCATATAATTCGATTGTAAGTACACTTGATCTAATGGAGTACGGTCCAAACGAAGTGAATCATGAGATGCTGGTAAAACGGTTTAAATATTTACTCGAGTCAGTAAAACCACATATGAATATGTTCTACCATCTATACAGCGTGATTTGTGAGATCAAGGCTAAAAAAGATGATAAGACTCGCCAAAATGGTATTGATGAGCGCGTAAAAAGGTATGATAGTGTTATTAATGAGTTATCAAAACTTATATACAGTGGTAAAATTGAAGAAGAAGGACATTCTATTGCAACAATCAAACAGTTTATCAGTTTTTTCAATGATCTGCGTATGACATTTAGATTCCTCGATCAAAACACGTACGTACTTTCAAATATATATGTTAATTTGATCAAAAAGAACATAGAAACAGCATATATAGCAAAAATTGCAGAGAATAATAAAAACAATACAGTCTCCAAAAAATTGAACTATGATGATGCAAAGGCTAATGAGAAGAATGAAATGAATTTACGTTTATATATGACGGATCAGAGTATTAGCAATACTAGTTCCTGAATTTATAATTCATACGGGCACATTGGTTGATACAACGCGATATTTTGAGAAAGAACAGCATCGCTTTTATCATCCATAGTTAGCACGTGAAGGAAAATTACGATTCATGAATTAGTTAATAAACGTAATTATTATCGTTGATCTTTTATAAGACTAGCTACGCTATTTTCGTTCACAAATATCATAAAGAAAGTTCAATCTTCCATCAAATGTTCTTTTCTGCTTGTTATACCAACTGTGCTATCCCGTTTTTCAAAAACGGGTGCATGAATGGATAGTATACCAAAATAGCGCTTTTGAACATAACTAAAACATTAGGTCATTCCTTTCTACCAACTGTTCTGTGGTTACAAATCAATAAATCACTTTCATTCCAGACTCATTGTATACAACATTTCTAGTGTATACTTTACCATTCTCATGCTTTCCTTGGTCTCCATTGTCAGCAACATACACCCTTAGACCGTTTGCATAGCGCACTCTCGACAAAGCTACATACAACTGACCATGCACAAAGACAGAGCTGTGCAGATAAACACCTACCTTGTCAAATGACTGGCCCTGT